CTAAGGTCATCAGAGCACCCCCTTCCTCCCTTGCCTCCCCCATTTGTACCAATTCCCTGCTTCTCACATGGGAAGGGTGATACCACCCTGTCCCCATTTGCCAGACGCAGCTCTTGAGGGGCCTCCAACAACTTATGGGAAACTCAGGGAAAGAGGATAGCCAGCCAGTGCTGCTATCCTTGGGGACCCCTCTTGGCCTCTCTCTCCTCTTAGTGGACACTGTGGGCCAGTGATCCCGGAAGCTCCCTTCCCAGCCTATCAGGCCTATCAGGAGAAGTAAGCTGCGGGAATGGCAATTCTGCCCAGGCTGCGTCTTAGTCCAGAGTGGGACACTTCTGTGGCCACCTCTTGCCCCATTTGCACTTCTGCATGTAGAAGACCACAAGCTGAGCTGCTGGCCCCTTTGACAAGCATGGCCTTTCTCCCTGACTCGCAGGGTCCTTGTCAGCCTCCTTCTGCAGAGCAGAGAGAAGGGAACTGTGTACCCAGCTGGGCCCAGGTGGCGCCTGAACCTCTAGCTGGCATCTGAACACCTGCTGTAATGAGTAGTTGAGAGCCAAGGCAGATCCCAGCTGAGGAGGATGGGGAAGACTGACTGACTGACACATTAGGAACCGGGATTACTGAAGTTTCCAGACAAGATCGCTGGCTGTGACTTGCCCTTGCCCCTGTCCTATGTCTGGGCTATTGTCCAGGAAGTTAGAGCCTGGTGCCTCTCCACCACTGGGAAGGCAACGGGACAGAGAGAGGAGAAAAGTATCTTCATGGCCCCCATGCATGCCCACCATGGCGGTGAGACTCTGCCCACATAGTCCCTGAAGCTCTGCACTTTCTCATAGCTACAGCGGGCCCGGTGCCCGTCCCTCTCCCTCACCCAACCTGACCCTTCTTTCACTGTCCCCCACTGAGGTTTAGAAAGGTTAGGAAATGTGGGCTGGGGAAAGGGGGGCACCAGGAAGGGCTGGGTCATTAGTGAACCCCTCAGTGGGTCAGACACTGTGGCCCCTTCTACAGCCCTGGATTCACTTGACTTGAATCTGCCATTGCGGCACTCCCACCTGTCCACCATGTGGACGCCCCCTCAGCCCCATCTGCTTCCTGATGGACTGGCTGAGGCAGTGAGGGATGGAAGGAGGGTGCATGCCCAGGGAGAAATATCTGGGAGGCTAGGGGATGAGGCCGAACCTCTGCATGGGCAGGTCAGAGGCCACACCTGAGCTATGTCCACGGGGCTGGGATTGGAGGACAACTGGAAGGGACAGAGGCAGAGATGTCCTAGAAAGTGTCCCCAGTGGCATATGTTGGGAATCTCTGAAGGCTCCAAGAGACATGTCCCTAGGGTATTTCACAGCGGGTAGCAGGACCAAGAGAGCAGATGTCCTGGAGAGCTGTGGTGGCTGTGTTGTGGGTAGAAGGCTACAAAAGGACGTAGGAGGTGAGCCCAGGGAGCACAGTTTTGGCAATCTGAGTTTGTGGGGTCTCCATATTCCAGGAAGAGGAAGGGGTTTGAGATTCCTGCAGATGCTAGAACAGGGAGTTTTGGGGGCTAAGAATCGTCTATCCTTTGACATTCCTGGGGTCTTAATGTAAAGGTGTAGAGGTGGGGAGAGCCAAAGGTGCTAGAATGGGGTTGGGGCAGGGCCTGAAGGATGGTGCAGGGGCTTGACTTGGCCAAGGCCGGCTTTCCATCCCTGAGGCTCCAGAGAATACCCACTTGCATTGCTGCATCCCCCCCACAAGACTACACTCTGGGGTCACCCCTTTGAGTCTGTACCAGAGAGAAGCTCTCAGTCCCCTAAAGGCAGACACCAGGAGAAGGGACCTCACATCAGAGCATAGCTCAGGAATAGAGGCTGGGGCAAGGGTGCCAGGAATCCCCCTTCCTAGTGGCACCCCAGCCTGCTTCTGACTGGGCCGGTCTAGGACCAACTCTCCACTTTACTTCTGAGCTGAGCCTGCCCCATACCTGCGTACCCACCACAGCTCCCCAAAGCCAAGGGTGCTGAGGACCAAGGCCCCTACCTCATGGCTCTGTGATCCATCCCCAGGACTTTCCAGGCCCTGGGTCTTCAGCCTTCTTCCCAGCCAGCCCACGTCTACCTCAGACCTGCACTCTGAGACGCCATCTTGACACCTCCTGACACCACCTACTTCCTGACTATTCACTACCTCAGCAGGAACATGACTTCACACTCTGTGACTTCAAGTCTCTCAGCAGCCAGCCAGACTCTGGGTTCACTCCATTCTCAGGCTCTATTCCTGGCCATCATATGTCACTGACTCCCCCATCAAGGCTGAGGCCTTCACACAGCAGCTTCTCAGGCTCGGATATCACCTTGTTCTCCTGAAAAGTCCCAGCCTGTCGGTCCAGCTTCAAGGAGCTGAATCTCTCCCCATCCCCAACTTCATTCACTCTAGTATTCTTGGGCCCAGGAGGTGATCCCTTGGATCTTCCTTGCTGGGATATCCTTGTCCTCCATGTCCAGACGCTCATAGGCCCCCAACCCTTCAGGATCACAGACCCTCCCCTGTCCCACCAAGTGACTTCTCTGAATAGCCCTCATACAGCACCCCTAACCCTTTCTAGGCTCTCAAGTGCCTCAATCCCCACTCTGGCAGTTGGATACACCCCAGCTTTACACACTGCACCCCACTGCTCACCACAGATGGTACTCTATTGCTTCTGCAGTTACCGGTTTATTCCACTCTCTCCTCCTCCCCAGTATACTTATCTGGACAGTGATTTATCCTCTTGGAATATACATGGATATCAGGCTCTTGTATGGGGTGCACTCCTTCCTGGTCCCTCCAGTGAACACAGGTTTCCTTTTTAAGTGTGTTGGGCTTGTGGGGGCTGTCACAGACTAGGGGGTGGAAACCATATAACTTGATTTTCTCATGGTTTCAGGAGCTGAATGTGGGCAGCCTGCTCCAAAGCCCCTCCCATATTCAGGCCATCTTCCCCGTGTAGTGACACAATTTTCCCTCTCTGTCCCTCTCTGTGACTTGAGTCTTGAACTCTTCCTACTAGTATACCACCATAGGACCCCATTTCAACTTAATTTCTGCAATTTTTCCCTAATATAGTTACATTATACTCCTGAGCTACCAGGAGTCACGGCTATAGCCTGTGAATCTGGGGGATACAATCCAGTGAAGAATAAGTGGGCTCCTTATTTGCTTGTAGGAACCTCACTGACGTGAAATTAATTATCTGAATACCCAAAAGCATCCCCTGAGATTCAGGGTTCATGGGGTGCAGTGAGACGTGGACCCCCAAATACCCTAACCTCCCATCAGCCCAGAGGACTCCCAGGAAGGTGCCTAGATGAGCTTGCCCCTTTAGGGTTCAAGTCGAGTATACCTATGTCTACCCAGAGGCTTCTGTAGGAGCCCCAGGCTCTGAAGAGAGCAACAGGCTATGGGTACAGAAAGGAATCTCAATTTTAGCCCTCATTTATTCTGTATCCATGATCCACAGGGCTGTCATGCTGATGAGGGAGGCTTAGTGGTACCTAGGTTACTAATTGCGGGGTTTGGATGTTTCAGGTGAACCTTCCTTCATTCCTCCGAAGCACCCCTGATAGGTAGCTCAGATGACTGACCTCATATTCCCTGGCACCAGCCCTTGGCAGAGTCTGCATCAATCTATGATGCCCTGCTGCTTACACACAGGCCATTGTCCTTTAAGGGACAGATCTGAACCAGGTAACACGACAGGTGGGAATATAGCCTCTCCAGAGTACAGTGGAGTCACCTTGTCCCAGCCTCAGGCACCCCGTGCATGCAGCACAGCTCAGGAGCCCAGATGGTGCCCATGCAGATGGGAGTTGGTCTGAGCTAGGAAGCAGGTCTGGGTTATAAGCATCAGGCTTGGTCCTTTGTGCTAGGTGCCACATGATCCTGTCCCCATCATAGCAAACCACAACTCTGCCAGGCTCTTCAGACCCTTATCTCAGATCTTGGGGCAGAGATGGGGCCAGGAAGAGAATCTCAGCTACACAAACAGGCAGGGCATCTGGAAGCTCCCAGGAATCCCCAAACTTCACACCCAATTAAACCTGGACTCGCCTCTGCTGTACCGAGCTGTCCACCCATTGCCATACCAGTGGGGACCTTAACTCTGCCAAGTGTATGCCCATCCTATACCTTCTCCACCCAGGGACCAGGGGGGGACCACATGTTAGAATGTGGAAAAGGATCCTGGCCTCACAGAGGTCCTAACACAGCTTGTGCAGGATGCTGCCTGAGGTCCGCAGTGGTCCTCACTGAATCTTTGCTTTCTCATCTGGAAAACAGTTGCTTTGAAAACTGAGAGAGGCCCCATGAAGTCCTTGGTTGGAAGGGCTGGCCCAGGACAGCATGCAGTCAGCTCCCAACACAAGCTGGTACTCCAGAGATGCTGACCCCTTCTCCATGGCAGGGAGTCTAGGGAAACTGAAGGTCAGGTTGTCCACAGCTGACCAGTTAGAGGAGTGCACCTCAATCACCCAAGAAACACCAGCTCCCAGTCCTGACCTGCTCAGCTACAGGAAACTAAGAGATGGGCCATCCAAGGTTTCTGGTGTCCGGCTCTGACCCTGTAGCGGGACCGCTCAGTTGTCTTCAGCTTCCTTGGTTACAGTGCCACTGGAGGGGCCACTGCTGGACACGGAATCACAAAGAGGCCGGAGACAGGCTTAACATGAACGAGAGAGAGGCCGATCTTTGTCCTTGGCTAAAAGGTTGTCACTCCCTCTGGCCAGAATACAGAGCCTGCATGTGCCAGCATCTATGGACTCGTTGCTTTCTCTAGTTCCGAGGGGTAGGCTTGGCTTCTACTTGCCTTGCATGCTAGGCTGCCTGCCCTGACACTACCTGTCATGCCTGGGGCTTCTGGCATACCCTGTTGCTCTGGAATATTCTGGCATACCCCGTTGCTCTGGGATACTGCCTGAAGTCCTGATACAGCCCTGGAGCCCCACCCACCATCTGTGTTGATGTGCCCACTCTGTCTCCAGGCTTCATGTGGAGGATTTCAGCCTGGACTCTTCCCTCTCTCAGTAAGTGCTTCACAGGGGAGGGACTGTCTCAGGGGCAGATGTGTCCTCATACCCCTGACAATCAAGCTTCATGGGAAAGGCTACTCTTGCCCAGGCAGAAACATGACAGTGTTGGCCAGCACTTCCCAGGACCAGCAGGTACTTCTGGTCCTGGGGGCTGGGACTGGAGACATATGATTAACAATCCCCTTGAGAGGAGTCTGTAGAGAGGAAATGGGCTCCCCAGAGGTGGATGACCGTCTTAGTTACTTGTCTATTGCTGTGATAAGACACCACAACCAAGTCAACTTATAAAAGGGAGAGTTGATTGGGGGTTACAGTTTCAGAGGGTAGAATCTGTGACCGTCATGGTGGGGGAATGTGGCGGCAGGCAGGCAGGCATGGTGCTGGAGCAGTAGCTGAGAGCTTACATCTGATCCGCAAGCACAAAGCAGAGAGAACTAACTGGAGGGGGTGAGCTTTTGAAGCCTCCTCCAACAAAGCCACATCTCCTAATCCCACTCCTCCTCCCCAGGTGCCTGAAGAACTGGGCCTCAGACCTGGCAATGGTGGGAAAGCAAGAACCTGTCTGTGGCTGCCCTAGGGCTAAGGCTGTGTCCATGTTGCTCCAGAGCCAGCGCCAATCATAGTAGATGTCCTAAGCTCCTCAGAGAGCCCCTGGGTTCCAAGAAAACTCCCTTTGCAGGGGAGTTAGTTTGAGAAGCCAGTACCCATTTTCCCAGACCACATCGGATCCCTTCTCTCCGTTTCCCATAGCCTGAAGACTCATACCAGACCAGCTCAACTCTACCGCCTGCCCCCAGGCTCTATGAGGCTGAGGCCTGGAGCGTTGGAGGGGGCCTTCCCGGGGAGCTCGTCTATGTGGGATACTATGAGGGCTGTGAGCCCACCTGGTCCTCCAAGAAGGTTCCAGAGCCACAGAAGGGTGCCACAAATGGAGTTTTACTGAACTCCCCTGGGGATTATGAAGGCTTGGGGGTTGTGGGCCATTGGATCTCTTCCCACTTGGCTAGTCCTCTGCAGATGCAAGGAGGAACAGGTTTGAGTTGCCCCTGGCAGCCTGTTCTGGGCCCTTCTTACCCACTCACCCAAGAAGTCAGTACCATGGCTGTACCCGCTAGCTCCTCAGTAAGGTTGATTCAGCTCAGACTCGTGGTTGAGCCAATGCACCATCCAGTATCTGTGGGCATGGTTGGCATGTATGCAACCAGGCTCTGATTTTGCAGTATGATGTACTGAACAGTATAGGCCTGCGGTGGCTTTCTGGTTGCGTTAACTTTGACCCCCACGCCAGCACCATGAGGTGCTAGTCCTGGGCCCCATACCCATTATCTCTCCTTGTATCCTCTCTCTGAGCTCATTCCCAAGGGACACAGTAGGACAAGTCTTAACCTCACTATTGCTAAAGCACTTAACATCTTCCAGGTACTCAGTGGTACTATCAGAGGAAGCTCCCATTATTATTCCCATCCCCGGTAGGAAACTAAGCTAAAAGCAGGAGAGAGGCAGAGCCTGCTGCATCTATCCAACTTCCCAGTGGGCTCCGGCTCTCAGTCCTTAGATTCTGCCTGCTGGGCCAGCGCAGTTTCTATGACTCCCAGGAGCTTCTCACAGGCACAAGGGTGCCTGTGAACAGGCTCTTTAAGAGGTGAAGGTCATTCACAAACCCTTTATGCTCCTGCGAGACTGTGCCCCCTGTCTTCCTCTCTCCTTAGGGCAGATCACACATGCTGTCTTAAACACAGATTAGAGTGAAATGGATAGTCTCAATCCCTGTTTTGTGTGCTGCTGGAGGAAGTGAGTGGCCACAGTTTATTAAAAATTTAAAAGTAAAGGAAGACTCATTGATTTCTCTGGCACTGTAGAGCTCTGATTTCAAGGGAGCCAAGCAGGCCTTATGGTTCCTCCAGGAGAACACCTTTAGCCATAAGTGGGCACTGCTCACAAAACACCTGGGACCATGCAGATGGGTGTTGGCACCTAGTGGGCAGCCCTCCTGGGAGGTGACTGTTGTGCTCATGGAAGTCATTAGTTGGGTCAGCTTTCTGGAGCTGGGGAGGATGCCAGCAAGGGGCAGGGCTGGGTGTGACAGGTTCCTGGCTGTTCCCTGAGCAGCACAGTGGCCATGGTGGCTTCTTTCATAGGTGACTGAGTTTTCTGATCTTCGTATGTCCCTGGGAAGATGATAAGAAGGACAGGAGCAGCCTTGAGGGTCCAGGAGCCTGGAGAGTGGAACTGGAAGTGGTCATGGGCATTGGGTTGAGAACTGGGTGCTCAGGGGACCTGTGGGCAGTGGGCAGGCACAGTTGGGGAGCAGCGGGGGATGGCCAACAGGAATGTCCCATGAGAATGTCTAGTGAGATGGGGCAGCAGGGTGCAGGGACAGAGGGAAGGTCAGGGTTCTGTCCTTTCTCCCAGGGACAGTGGGGTCCCTGGGAGAACTCCAAGCCTGTGGTTGGAGCTCTAGCTACAAGAAGAACACATGAGTGCTTCCCCAGTGTGTCCTGGGACTTCCGTCTCTAATGAGGGAGGAGAGGAGGCATCGGTGGCTCGCAATGGAATATTCTGCCCAAGAGGAGTGTGTTAGTCCATAGACTGCTGAGTAACACAGAGGGAGCTTATGCAGCTCAGGTTAGCCCAATGCCAAGGGCCCACATCTGGTAATAATCATTTTGCAGACAGAGATCTGAGGTAGTCCCAGGCATCCCACATGGCAGGAGCTGGAGCGCACGTGTCTCTTATGTTACCCCTTGCCTATAAAGCCACCAGGACTGACTGTGGGTTCTTCCCTAGAGATCCTACCTAATCCTAACCCCCCCAATCAGTACACACACACACAACACACACACACACACACACACACACACACACACACACCATAGCTGTATTTAGTTCCTATCTTCTTCCTGCCTCTTAGCAATGAAGCTCTTAACACATGACACCTTATAGACACTCCATCCTTTAGGATACAGGTGGTCCTTCAAGCCATCCGATGACTTCCCTGCCCCCATCCCAGTGCAGCCTGTCTCCCAAGCCTCAGGTTCCTTCCGAGAGAAAGATGCACGGCTGACTCTTCAGTCAGTCATGTGCAGTATCCTCTCCCGCTTGGGGCTCCAAGTGCCCTAGAAAGACCCTGTGCTGCTATACAGTGTGGTACAGCAGGGTGCTGTGGGGACCCAGTGGGGGTATTCTGGATCACATGGGATGCAGAGGTGTGCTGTAGCATCACGTGGGGTGCAGAGGTGCGCTGTAGCATCACGTGGGGTGCAGAGGTGCGTTGTAGCATCACGTGGGGTGCAGAGGTGCGCTGTAGCATCACGTGGGGTGCAGAGGTGCGCTGTAGCATCACGTGGGGTGCAGGGGTGTGCTGTAGCATCATGTGGGGTGCAGAAGTGTGCTGTAGCATCACGTGGGGTGCAGAGGTGTGCTGTAGCATCACGTGGGTGTACTAAACAGTGTGGCGCATGGAACTGGCTGGTGTGCAGTGTAGTGTGTCCGGCACAACTGGCGATATGTGCTGGGACAGCAGAATGTACTGAGGTGCAGTAGGGATGCTGGGTAAAGTGGAGTTTAGACATATAGAGGGGTGGGCTAGAGTACACCAACCATTAGCACGGGGCTGGCCCCTCCTTGCCTGTGGGAAGCTTGGCTTGCTGTGCAGTCTAGGACGGACCCAGTCTTTGCACAGCACCAAACCCCAGGAGTGCCTTGGTTCTGGTGAGGTGAGCAGGCCTTTGGGCCCTCAGGCAACTCTGTGACGTGCAGAGCCACCGTGACCCAGACCACTCCCCCAGGCCACGGGCTGGTCACGTGACAAAGCGGCTGTGCTCAGTAGGCTTCAGAGAGTGATTAGATTTTAAAATATATTTGTATGACCCTTGTTTATTTATTTGGTGTATGCTTGTTGGGACACGCATGTACCACGGCATGCATGTGAAGGTTGGTTGTTGTGGAGTATTAGTTGAAGATGTATTACATTTGTTCATGCTGTGGAGTATTTGTTTAATGATGCAAAGATGTGTTGGCATTCTTTTCTGTTGCATTTGCTTAACTCTGTGAAGCTGTGTTATTTTGCCTGCCTGCAGCACCTGATTGGGCTAATAAAGAGCTGAACGGCCAGTAGCCAGGCAGGGAGTGGGAATAGGTGGGGCTGCAGGCAGAAAGAATACACAGAAGGAAAAAATCGTAAGAGGGGGAGCAAAGAGGAGCAAGAGGGGGAAGCAAGGGGCCAGCTGCCCAGCTACACAGCCAGACATGGAATAAGAAGGAAAGAAAAGATATACAGAAATAGAAAAAAGGTAAAGGCCCAGAGGCAAAAAGTTTGACGGGATAATTTAAGAAAAGCTGGCTAAAAATAAGCCAAGCTAAGACCGGGCATTTATAAGTAATAATAAGACTCTGTATATTTATTTGGGAACTGGGTGGAACAAAGAGAAAGAAAAAAAAAAAGAACTACAGTTGATGGATACCTTGCCGTAGTCAGTTTTCTCCTTCCGCTGTGTGGGACCCAGGATCCAGTTCAGGTCGCTGGGCTTGGTGGCAAGTGCTGTCACCCACTAAGCCATCTCACTGGCCTGACAGAGACCATTGCAAACACTTTGGGTGCTGTTGGAATAGTCGTCCCCAGCCAGGCACTGACATTAAACTCTCCAACTGTCTTGATGAGCCGGTACCTGATCAAAGGATAACGGTGTTCTGGGTCCGCCCACCCTGGGCTCGGTGCCGCCTTCCCCAGCAGGCGATAGCAGTGCGGGGGGGGGGGGGGGGGGGAGGGGGAGGGGGAGGGGGTAGAAACAGGGATCCAAGCTGGTGTTTGCCTCCTTTGCCGACTTCTCCAAGCCCTACAAGACCCTTGCAGGCTGCAAGACATGCTATCCCTCTGCCCTTCTGCCTTGTGACCCTACACTGTGCTATGGTTCCTGGTGCTGTGTCCCACCTGATTCCTTCCTGGGGGAGTTTCTGTCTGTTGGGGAGATGCTGAGGTTGTTCTGATAGAAGCCAGGTGTCCAGGGAGCCCTGTGTCCATCACAGCGAGCCATGGACCATTCAAGGGCACACGAGAGGGAAAATGCAGGAAGCTGACCACACCTGCTACAGGAGTCCAAGCTGATGCGAACTCCAGACTCAGATTCGTATCATCCTTCCCCTGTCAGTACTGGCTTTCTCCTCTCCTACTCCTGAATGGGATGGGCAGGGCATAGGATTATGTCTGCAGCTTGGGGGTTGAGAACAGTGCCTTTGTCTTCCCTTTGCCACAGAGTTATTCTCAGTGAGCGCGTGGCTCCTCCTGGGTGTGGCAATGGGGCATAAGTGAGTAGCCAGGTGCTCGCTCACTATTTACCCTGGGTGATCTGAGGACTTCAGAGACTATGAGTGTGGCCATGCCTCAGAGACTGGCCTCCGTGTGCAGTGCCACGGGAGGGGGAAGATGGAGGTCAGAGGGCTGATGGCCAGGCTCACAGGATGACTGACTGCTTCTTGCTGGCCCTTCTGACCATCCCTGAGATTATAATGTATGGCCTCAGAATACGAACTCTGGAGGCCACCAGAAGCAATGACTGTCAACTCCTGAACATTTTACTAAGAAGGTTTGGATACCCAGTGCCCAAAGCTCCGTGGGTGCTGTGGCCCTGATCTCCTCGCGGCCTGGAGAGCTCTGGATGCTGAGAAGATGTTACCCAGTGGCTGCAGGTGTAGCAAGGGGAGGCTGCGGGGGGGATGAATGGCTGCTTCACACCACAGACCTTCAGGTTCTCTCCCAAGTTCCTCTCTGCTCCTGTGGTTTGAAAGAACTCAGCTGGGCTTGGGACTCTGGCTCTGGCTTGAGGCTCCAGCCCCTGCCTTGGGCCTGAACCCTCTGACCCTAAGCCTCAGCCTCCTCTTCTCCTTCAGGGTCCAGGTGGAATTCTATGTCAATGAGAACACCTGCAAAGAGCGGCTCAAGCTGTTCTTCATCAAAAACCAAAGATCCAGTGAGTCGGGGGCCTGAGGGAGGGGGGTGGGCAGGGTTGGGAGCCTGAAGAAATGTGCCAACTGCATGGGCAGAGGGCAGAGATCACCTTGACTTCCCGTTTTCTGACCTGTGGAGACATGACTCCCCCCATTCTGGACACTGAGTTGAATTGGGCTAGGCTGTCCCCAGGAGCCAGCCTGGGCCATCTCCCATGTCACCCAACCCACACCCTAGGAATCCCCACCTCCACACTTCCCCGACTCCTTCCCAGCTTTAAGCTTGGCCACTCTGGACCTACCTGAGATGCAAGAAGGGGCTTGGAAGTTAGGCTGTGGCGCCAAGTGTCTAAATCTGTTCCCGCGAGGGACGCGCCCTCAGGAAATCCTCTGCACCCCAATCCTCTGCACCCCAATCCTCTGCACCCCAATCCTCTGCACCAAGCCTCAGTGACCAGAGGAGTCTGGCTGGGGAAGGGGTGCTGATGCATCTGTCCTCTGCATCTGGAATACAAGTGCGAGATGGAAGTCCATGCAGGGCTCCTTCAGGAGGGAGCTGTTGAGAGACCCCAGCAGAGCGGGTAGGCCTGCTCCTTGCAGCTCCTACCCTGTTGTCACCCTCTCCACAGGCCTGAGGATCCGGCTGTTCAACTTCTCCCTCAAGCTGCTCACCTGCCTGCTGTACATCGTCCGTGTCCTGCTCGACAACCCAGACCAGGGCATCGGATGGTGGGTGACCTGGGGGGTTGGGGTCCTCAGACTGAGCCTTTCCAATGATCCTCACTGGCATTTTGGGCATTCGTGTGGAAGACCTGTGACCAACACTTACCAGACTACTAGGGAGCCCTGTCACCAGAGCTTTGAAAGTCTTCTTCCCCTAGCGTGACCCCACCCTAGAGCCATGCCCAGACACCACTCAGTCGGGCCTAGAATGATGGCTGGCCCCCAGTGTGGAGCTGTGCATGCAGCCACAGAGTGTGTTCTAACCATCTTGAGGAAGAGGTATCTGCTGTCAAGTGGGCTTAAAGGACCCGGCAGATGAGGCTGAGGATTCTTCCTCTGATGTCTTCTCGGTAATCCTCCCACTGCCTGGCTGCTTTGAGACGTCAGTGCTGTTTCCCAGCCCAGATCCTTGCAGGGTGTCATTGTCTTCCCTGAGAGCTGCTGGTCTCTCAGTGCTTGGGGAGGCCTTGGCATGCTTCCGGTTCATCTCTGGACTGGTCCAGAAGCCCTCAGTGCCAGGATTGTCTTGAGTTGTGCCCCGTGGGGTTCGGAAGCTGGGCCCTGGGCCACGGGCGCGCTTGTCACTCCTCCCTCCTACTCTGCCCCCTCTTATCCTCTCAATTCTATTCTGAGGTGACACTCTTCCCCCAGGTCTGAGTTCCTGCATCTGTCACTTCCTGGTTTCCCACAGCCCTCTGAGGATGCTGTACTTGGCCCTTCACTTTGTTAGTTACTTCTGCCAAGAACATTTCTTTTGAACTCTGCTGGCCTCTGACTTGCAGGCCAGTGGGTTTGACAAGTGGGCTCAGATGCCACAGGACTCCTTAGTCAGAGCCAGGAGTTTGAGGGCCACTGCTGGGCCAAACGTGGACCTTGCCAACATTGACTTACTTCTTGGGCTACCCAGAGCAGGCTCTTCCTGAACTGCTGAGGTCCTGTAAATCTCCGGGAGGAGGCCAGCCCCTGGAGCTTGTGTGCGGAGTTGTACTGAATTCCTTATTTTCATCTGTTGCCCACTTTCGGGAAAACTAGAATTCCCAGATCGGAAACCCTCACATGCTATTGAGAACAAACCTTTTATCACTGCACAGGAGGTCAAAGGAAGGAAGACCCCTCCGTGGCTGTTTGAGGGGAAATAGGGGCTATCGCTGACTCAAAAAACTCTCTTCTGGGTCTATTACACCTTTTCCAAACCCCCGAGGCTTCAGGACATCTGCTTCCACCTCCCTAGAAGACCCGAGTCGGTTGAATTCATCACCATCACTAGCAGGGCTAATGGGCTGTGGGGGATATGATGAATATTTGGGTGATGGACGGATGGGTGAATGCTGCATAGCTGTACACTGGATGGGTAGATGGATGGACAGAAGCTTGGGTAGTCGAATAGGGGACGAGATGCTGAGTAGATGTTGGGTACGAGGATGCATAAGGAGATGGATACAGGAATTACAGATCAGGTGATGATGGATGCATGGACCAAGGATGAGATCATACCTAGATAGACGTATGGATGAATGTCAATGAGAGATGAATGGATGGATGTTAGATAGAATGATGAACACAGGTAAATGGACGCATGGGTCATAGATCAGATGATGATGGATAATAGATAGGTGAATGCACGGACCGTAGATGATGCAAAGGAGGGATAGGTGAGTGGTTGCTGATGAAGGATAAGTAGGTAGATGTTGGATAAGAGTTTGAGAGAAAGGCTCAGAGACTTCGGTGGGTACTGAGTGAATCAACCCCAATAAAGCTCAGGTGAGGTGAGGACAGGGAAGAAGTGGCTCCTTCCTGGGTTCTCTGAGCAGTGAGGTCCCCATGGTAGCCAACCCTGGTGCTAGTTGTGGCCTGAAGCAGAGCTAGAATGTTGGCTATGCCCTGCTACCTCTCATCAGCTGATTCCAAGGTGCTTGGATATGCCTATCTTCAAGTGGCTTGGGGGATGAGGGTCGTTAATTCATCTCTTTCTGACTCTCAAAAACTATCCAAGCTGGTTCAGGCAGCTCCGACCTCCAGCGGGCATCAATGTCACACTGGGCCATCTGTGGTTATACAGGAGCTTGTTGTTGGCTCAGGCTGAGTCTTCACTTTCTCCTGAGCAGCAGCTCACTGCAGGGCCCAGACCTCTAGACAGGGACGTGTTCTCTATGCTTCTTGTTTCGAGAGCCTCCTCACGCGGTCACGGCAGTCCATGGAGGCCCCGCACATGCTGGAGCATCAGCTCCAGTTGGGGCATATGGTGGGCCCTGAGTGAGCCAGTGGGTGCCTTTCCCAATTTTCCTGAGCCCATAGCAGCTCTGGAAAGGACCCTTGGCATTGGTCCTGGAGGTCTGGGACTGGGCCAGTGCTTTTGTCTCTCCACAGCTGGGGCTGCACGAAGTATAACTACACTTTCAATGGCTCATCCTCCGAGTTCCACTGGTGAGTTTGCTCCTCAGGGCCATACTGGGCCGGGCCAGGAACAGGATAGACAGATGTGGTCTATGGGAGTTTAACTTTCTGGCCCTAGTGAAGCCAATGCGCACCTGAGGTCCATTAAAGTCCCTGGGGTATGTTCAGCTGCATCCTTGCACCCTGGCTGAATCTGTACTGAGGATCTTCCCCATCAGAGAGGAGGAATTTTGAATGAAGCACATGTTTCTCCACTCACCCTCCACATCTGACTAGTGGGCGCTCACTACCTCGGGAATATTCTTCTGGAGCCTGAAGAGGAAGTACCCTGACAGCTCTCACCCTAGCCGGGCCTCACCTCCCTTTTTTCCCTAGGGCTCCCATCCTGTGGGTGGAGAGGAAGATGACTTTGTGGGTGATTCAGGTGAGTCCCAGTCTACCCCTCCACCCTGCACAGTGGAGGCTGCTTGTGTGGACTCAGGAAGGAGAGGGCTTGGGTTAAGTAAGAGAACATAAGTCCTATTCAGCAAGCAACGGCCTCGGGCTCACCCATGAAGCAAGGGACTTAGGCCCACTAAGGCCTGACAGCTCGTACTGTAGTTTTCCCAGATCGCTGAGGGCATACTTCCCTCTTCATTTCTTTCCTGATCAGAACCTCTCCTCCCTGCTGACCCACCCTCTCCTTACTGTCTACCTGAGAAGTAGGTAGGGGTCAGAAACGCAGGCCAGCTTCTGACGGGGTCTTCCCTAACTATATGCCAGAGGCCTAGCCTGAAGGGTCCCATAGGACTCATAGATGCCTGTAGCGGAGGCTCCATCCCTACCCAGGGCCCAAGGAGTACTGCCAACCCAGCCTCATGCCCTCACTGCCACCTCTGCCTCCTAGAGCGGCTTTAGTGGTGCTCTTACCACCCCGCTACTTCATTGGCACTGATTGTCCACAGGGTGTCCCAGCAGGGCAGGGATGGCGTCTGGGCTGCCTTCTATCAACCCTAAGGCCTAGAGTAGCTACCTGCAAGTCTTTCCAATCAAGACCATCTTACTTCAGCAGCAAGGGCGCAGGCAGCCCTGTACACACACACACAAGCACCCCGCTTTGTCAGGACTCTGCCTGCTGAGCCCCTCAGAGGTCAAGCCCTGTTCCCAGATCTGCTCTGAGTCTCTTTCCTTTCTTCACTCAGGTCATTGTGGCCACAATAAGCTTCTTAGAGACCATGCTCCTCATTTACCTCAGCTACAAGGTGAGTCCCTCCCTGCACCTTCCCCGCCCTGATTTCCACCATGCCCTTTCTCCACAGTCCCTCCCTTAGCACCTATGATCTAAGGACTGCCCACTCCCAACCCTTACCTCTGCCTACCTTCCAAGCTCCCAGTTCCCTTCCCTGCTCCTGACTACCCCTTGCTGGCTCTGAAGTACCTCTGGCCCCCAGGGCAACATCTGGGAGCAGGTCTTCCATGTTCCTTTCGTCCTGGAGATGATCAACACGCTGCCCTTCATCATCACGGTGGGTGAGCCCCAGCCCCAAGCTCGGCTACCTGAGCCCTACCTGACCTCTCCCCCACACACCACAGGTCTTCTGGCCGCCTCTTCGGAACCTGTTCATCCCCGTGTTTCTCAACTGCTGGCTGGCCAAGCACGCGCTGGAGAACATGATCGTAAGTGAGCACTGGCTCCTGTTGGCTCCTTGAGAACAGTTTCCCCACCTGCTGGCGGGACCAGGCGGTGGCCCGGATACTGCCTGCCATGTGACACATTCCAGTCCAGCCAGCCGTGAGCTTCCTCTTTCCCTGAAGACAGCTTTCCCAGGGCTGGGGAGAAGGTGGGACAGAGTATGCAGATGTGAGTAAGCACAACCAGAACCAGGCTGCAAAATCAGGGCTGGAAGAATGCAGGCTCCGACTATGCCTATGGCTAGCCTCTGCTGGAATAAACCCATCTCCTGGAAATGAGAGCCAGGATGACAGCTGTCTCCCTGGTGGTCTGCACCTTCCTGGCCAGATCCCTTGACTCAGCTCTGTCACACTTGCACAGTGATGTAAGAGTCTTGAAGCCAAAGATGCTCACACCTATCTGCCCTCTGGCACATTTTGCTCACCCGGAGACCAAGCTGAGGTCTGTGTGACCAGCACCGGGCAATGCTGCCTGTAGCCCTCTCTTGGGAAGGAATTATAACCAGATCTCTGCTTATTATGTGTGGGAGTGTCTATGGTTCCTGCCTTCTGATGGCTGCATTCTCTGCAGAATGACTTCCACCGTGCCATCCTGCGCACGCAGTCAGCCATGTTCAACCAGGTGCTCATCCTCTTCTGTACCCTGCTGTGTCTCGTCTTCACGGGGTGAGTGCCCTAGTCACCACATGGTCGCATCAGGTAGCCATGGAAGACCGCAAGCCTAGGAGATAGATCAGGGAGGTGACAGAAGAGGCACAAAGAGAACTGTAGAACTTAGCTCCAAACTCTTGTGTCCGGAGATCAGGGACACAATGGCACAACGTCTGACCTGCAGGTGCCCGCCCAACTGGCTGGGTTTGCAACTCTCAAGGGAACTGGCCCCTGGGCTGAGTGTGGGCCCTTTGGTTTGAGGTCCATTTGAGAACGGAGTCTAGAAGCAGCCAGGGTCTCTTGGAGGGTCACTTAGAGTGGGGAGCTTCTGGTCACGTGGGCAGACCTTCCAACCTCCTGCATCAGCCTGTGGAGTGGCCCTGTTCCATGTCCCCAAGAGGCCCAGTCACCCCTGCTATCCCTCAGGCAAGGATGAGCTGGCTAGGAGTGGCCGCAGGTCCTGGAGGACAGGTTGGCGGGACTTGGGGCAGCCCCACCCCGTCCCTGCTACAGCCATACTCCTTTGCGGCTGAAGTGTACCCCTCACCATGGCAGCCCCACTGCCTTACTACTGACTGACATCACCTGTGGGTGCTGGGCATCGAGACCCAACTCTACAATCTCACTCACTCAGTGTCCCAGTGATCAGGAGTGCGTCACTTCGGTCCTAGGTGATAGGGTCCCCGGGACTGGTAGAGCCTTACCCCTCTGGAAGGTGGGGAGGTGGGGAGGCCCTGTGTCCGTGTTCACAGCAGCCAGCTCAGGTATCCCCACTCCACATTGTAGCCTTGTCTCTTACCATTCAGGTCCTCCCATCCATGGCTGCAGCCCCTGCCCTCCCTGCTGCAGTCTACCCTACTGCTGCAATCCCTGCTCCCCCTGCTGTAGCCTCCCCCCACCCCACTGAAGTCCCTCCCTGCCACTGCTGCAGCCCTGTTCTCCCGATTTCTAGGACCTGTGGAATCCAGCACCTGGAGCGGGCAGGTGGGAACTTGAACCTGCTGACTTCCTTCTACTTCTGCATCGTCACTTTTTCAACTGTGGGCTTCGGTGATGTGACACCCAAGATCTGGCCATCCCAGCTGCTGGTGGTCATCCTGATCTGTGTGACCCTTGTGGTACTCCCGCTGCAGGTGAGTCCCCATGCTCAACACAGGGACAGCCAGGAGTCATTCCATGAGGAGTGGCATAAGGACAGGAGGGATCTGTGGGGTCGAGCACACACGTCAGGAGGTCGTTCCCAGGAGAGACTGGAGAGAAGGCGTCCCCTGTCTATGGAGGGTCATTGCAGAGGTTCTCCCTTGACTCGAGTCAACAGTGAATTGTTCTGCCAAAGAGCAACTATGGAAGACAGGCTTTTCCTTCCAGAGGGTCTGAGGTGCCCAAGTGACCCCTCAAGAAGCTATGCAGAGATGGATTGTTGGGGTGAACTTCACCCTCTTTCCCAACCACAGCTAAACAACTTTTAGGGCTACAAGGGGCAACTGGAAGCACCATTGCTGATCCTGAGCTCTGACCCTGGGCTAGTCCCACTTCTGACCTTGCAGCCCTGAGCCTCAAGCCCAGCAGACACCCCTTACTTCTCCCGGCCCCTGTCCTGAGAATGCTGCCCTGAAAGCCCACAGTGTACTAATCCTGTCCCTGTCACACATCACTGCCCTTCCAGGCCTCTCTCCCCAACCTGTTAGCTTTTCTGTGCCCAGAAGCCGGTCCTGCATCCTGCTTCGAGCTGCTGATCTGGAGTGTGTGCTGTGCTTCTAGCTGGCGGCCTCAAGCATTCCGCTGGTAGCTGCTAGTCTGTGAACTCATTCCTTGCCTTGTTTAAGGGTCCTGCCCTTCTCCAGGCAGCTGAAGTTTTAACGAGGTCTAATACACCAAACTTTCTCTTAACATTTTCCTCTCTTACCTGAAAAGGCCACTTCCTCCCTCCGCTGTAAGTCTGTTTTCTTGCAAAAGTTTTAGGTTATCTCTTCACATGGAGCTGCAGGGGGCTAGCGGGAGCCCTGGGAGGTCCCATGGTTGTGGTGGCCTCCTAAGCCCACCCTCCACCTTATGGGCATCTCCATATGACCATGTGGTCCTTGTCCCACCTACAAGGACCCATGGGTATTGGATTTAGTAGTCACCATAATTCAAGATGATCTCAGGTCAACAGATTAAAGCTGCAAAAACCCCCTTTTCCAAATCAGCTCCTGCCTCAAGATTCTGAGCAGACATACGCTTTAGGGGTCACTGCGAACCCTTTGAACCCTTCATTAACTCTCTGACCCCCTCACCATAGCCTGCAAGACAGGCACTCTTCTCATACTTTCCAAGTGAGGAAACTGAGGCCTGAGAGAGGTCAGAAGCAAGCCCAGGTTGTCCAGCAGCAGTGCCCTGCCATGGGCCACCAAAAGGGAGCTCCTGTGTTCCCCAGCCCGAGGATCTTGAACACCCATGGACCACCTGCAGGGAGCCCCCCGTGTTCTCAGCCCGAGGGTCTTGAACACCCCATGGTCCACCTGCAGGGAGTCCCCGTGCTCCCAGCCCAAGGGTCTTGGCCACTCCCAGCCACAGGTTTCCTGGTGAGGACCCGTGGAAGTGAGATGCAGACTTGAGAATGGACATAATGGTCAGGGTCTGCTGCCACAGTCCACTCAGAAATGCGCTAAATCCATGTCTGGTTCTGGTGCTCAAGATGAAACAGGCAGTGGGCATCTGACCTCAGAGCCATATGCAGGGTGAAGCCTCGGGCAGAGCCAGTGCCATGCAGCTCACATGGCCCAGGCAGATGGGAACATGGCAGTTCTTGTAACTTTTCCCACCCAGCCCTAGAGGACCCCACTGGCAAGGACTGAACGTGTGGTGTCTGCATCAGGAACTCATCTGGTCACTGTTAGAGAGAAATCCCTAATTTCAGTGCTGAGTGTTTCCTAATACTGTCAGGAAAGCTGATAGGCAGAGCCAAGACTCTGTCTTTCCAGATGTCAGAGTATAGACTCTGGCACCCACTACTGGCCATGTAGCTTCTGAGGCCATGAGCTAGACTTCCCATGGCTGGAGTCACACACCACAGTTTCTGACACCTCTTTATATATGCCATCTCCTGGTCCTGCTCTGGTTTCTGCTAAGGTCACCGTCCCCATCACTTCTACATCCTGCCAGCCAAGCAGGCCTGCTCTTACTCTCTGCCCTTAGCACCTGCCCCACCCTCCTTTGTCCCCCACTAGATGCCACCCCCCCTCTCCCCACAGTTTGAAGAGCTTGTCTACCTCTGGATGGAACGGCAGAAGTCAGGGGGTAACTACAGCCGCCACCGAGCACAGACGGAAAAACATGTGGTCCTGTGTGTTAGCTCCCTCAAGATTGACCTCCTCATGGATTTCCTGAATGAGTTCTATGCCCATCCCCGTCTCCAGGTAAGGCTGTAGGCACCCCTGGGGAGCCTCAGACTTTTCCCAGGCTCCCCAAGCAGTCACCTCCCCCCACCCCTCGCCCCCATTGTACAAGACTGTCACATGCTTGAGCATGGTACCTGAGCACTCTAAGTCCCTGGTTATTGTATCTGGTGTGTGTTTGGGGAGGGGGGGGCTGTGGTGGTCCCATAAGGCCCTGGGAATGACACCATCAAGGAAACAATACAGGCTGGGGGGACAGGATCCGGCTCAGAGGCACTGACTTACAACCTGGCCAGCAGGACTACTACGTGGTCATCCTGTGTCCCTCCGAAATGGATGTCCAGGTGCGCAGGGTACTGCAGATTCCCCTGTGGTCCCAGCGGGTCATCTACCTCCAGGGCTCTGCCCTCAAGGACCAGGACCTCATGCGAGCCAAGTGAGTGCCGGCCAGGACAGCACAGCTAGACCTAGGCCTGAGGCCACGGGGAGTCCCCAGGTAGAAGTGGAACCATGACAGGCATGGCTTGGCACAGAGCCTGAGGCAGGCAGGGGTCCCAGGTGGAGGCAGGGCCAGGGTGGGTGAAAGGTCAGGGTCTGGGCCCAGGTGAGCGGGACCCTAGCGTTTGTTCATCCCTCCCTGCTAGTCGCGGCTACACAGCCTAGCAAACACACCTGGCCAAGCTGTGTTCTTCCGCTGTGGGTCTCGCCTTTGGGCATCTTTCCCTCTCTTGCTCTGAGTCTGGGGATTTTTCTCTGTCAGATTTCAGGAAGCTTAAAATAGACCAGGGGTGGGGGTGGAGGGGAACCTGGCTTCTGAGAGTCAGTGGTAAAGACACGAGGGCTGAGGGTGGCTCTTGATTTAAAGACAAGTTGACAGAGCGTCTTGAGGCGACAAGAATGTGCTGTTAACATGTAACTGGACTGCATTACTGCACCATCTGGGACTCTTCCCCCAACGCGTCCCATGCCACATTTTCATTCCAGAAGGTTCCTGTACCCTTTGTTGTGTGGTACAGGTGGTGCATGGCCAAGGCAAGCAGAACAACAACCCCGGTCTCTCATCCCCAGAATCCTGAGCCTCGGCTCCCATGGGGATCCTGCCCAGTTCACATGAGACTGTAGCTGCTTGTGTCCAGCTCTGGACTGGTAGATGGGACAGAGGAAGTGGTAGCCAAGCAGGGAGGCACCCACAGCTTTTGTGGGGCAGACGTGAGGCTTTACTGCCCTGCTTGTTGGGTAAAGGTTTCTCCAACCAGCTCTCAGCAGGGTCAAGTTGTTTCTGTAGCCAGTCTCCTGGGAACCTGGAAGGAGTTAGGAATGACCACCCAAGACCGGGCTGCTAAATAGTCAAGCAGAAGAGGAGACAGGCTTTATGGTCTAACTTAGGGTGTATGGGAGCCCAGGAGACAGGCCCCAGATGCTGGGCAGTGCCCCACAAAAAGTCAGCGTCCCTAGGGCCTCGGTCATCAGCACCATTGAGACAAGCTCTCAGGAGGACCCACTCTTTCTGGCCCTAAGCCTCTGACAACTGTAAGCAGAGTCCAGAGTGTGGATGAATGTGGTGGATCGTGGCTTAGAACCCCCTCTTGGGCACCATCATGCCACAGCTTGGGAACCCTGGCCAATCAGTGTCTCCAGGGCAGGCTTGGCCCATGGGCTTTGTTCGGCATCTGAGCTTCAACTCTGCTATGAGTGTCCAGGCATCCTGACCTGTCCAGAATGTTCCAGGAGGATCTGGGGAGGCTAGGAGGCCTGGGATGCCCTGCAGGATTTGATGCTGGGGCCTGCTAAGCCAGGCCAGACTACCTTAGCAAGGCCCCCTGCTGGGCCATCCTCTCTCTCACCCTTCATACACCGGGCCCCTCCTGACCTCCTGACTTCCTGACCTCCTCCTGGGGAGGCCCTCTGGGTCTATAGCCTTGCTCAGCAGCTGGTGCTCTACAGGATGGACAACGGAGAGGCCTGCTTTATCCTCAGCAGCAGGAACGAGGTGGACCGCACAGCTGCGGTGAGTTCAGACACACTCCCCCCAAGCCTGCGCTTCCTGCCTACCCCCAGCGGTAGGCCCTCCATCACCAACCACACCTCCCCCAGGATCACCAGACCATTCTTCGAGCCTGGGCTGTGAAGGACTTTGCCCCCAACTGTCCCCTCTACGTCCAGATCCTCAAGCCCGAAAACAAGTTTCACGTCAAATTTGCTGGTGTGTTTGGGGCCCTGTGGCATCATGAGCATGCAGACTGCAAGGGGGTGAAGGGTGGGGGTGAAGTAAAGTATTCTTCTCATAAGATCAAGGAGGGTTCATCCTGGGGAGAGCATGCCCACCAGATCTCTGCATCAGAGAATGGAGAGCTACCAGGGGTAGCCTTGGCAGATGATCTGGCCTCTACCTGGGGCCGAGATCGGTGGGAACAAGAGCCAGAAGTGGTGTGGGAGGCAAGGACACTATCTGATCAGAACCTCTATGGCCAAAGCCCATGGTGGGCACCTGGGGGATAGGTAAGGGCCCACCTGGGTAGAACTGGAGTGGCCCCAGAAACACAGTTGCACCTTAGGGTTTCAACATGCAGCTCGCCAAGGTGCTGAACCCCTGCTGAGTAGGAGCTGGCTGCTCAGGCTTCCAGGGGCACCGAGCAGGAGAGCCTTGACACATTCGTGGGTGCTGTGTAGGGGGTACCACAGACAGCAGGGGTGGCAGGCACTGACCCTGCAGTCCCCACAGACCACGTGGTATGCGAGGAGGAATGCAAGTACGCCATGCTGGCCCTGAACTGCATCTGCCCGGCCACCTCCACCCTCATCACCCTGCTGGTGCACACGTCCCGTGGCCAGTGAGTGCCCTGTGCCAGACCGACTACCACGCCCTGGCCGTCCCGACCAACCCCACAAGGCAGGGCGGGCTCCCTGGAGGAGGAGGGCATGTAGTGGGCAGAGGTCTGGCACAGGAAGGGGGTCCAGGGAGATGCAGGGTGCATTTAACCAATTGGGTAGGAGGGCCAGCCCTGACTGAGGGTGATGGCCTCCTAACCTTACCCTGCTCCTCTGGTAGGGAAGGACAGGAATCTCCAGAGCAGTGGCAGCGCATGTATGGGCGCTGCTCGGGCAATGAGGTGTACCACATCCGCATGGGCGACAGCAAATTCTTCCGGGAGTATGAGGGCAAGAGCTTCACCTACGCAGCCTTCCACGCACACAAGAAGTACGCAGGACTCGGGGCTGAATACAGGGTTGGAGCCCGCTGTCCCCACCATCACCCTACCCAGGGCCAGGTCAGCATGGGTGGGGCCCTGGGGCAGGAAAGTCACAGAATCTCAACCAAGGACAGCATAGCTTGGCTCTGCCTACCTGGTGAGGACGGCCAAGTCAGGACATCCCAGAACAAGGCTCATGTAAGAACCTGCCACATAGCTTCTTCTGAGGCTGCCCTGGGGTCCTTAGGTCCCCAATATCCGAGGAGAGGGCTTGTCCAAGAGGTCCAAGTGGGGTCCCTGAGAGGAGAATGAGTAGTTCAGGGGGGCAGCCTGAGCCACAGGGTGCCAGGAGTGACCCTGAGCTCCAGGCCATGTCTGCTCAGGTATGGCGTGTGCCTCATTGGGATGAAACGTGAGGACAACAAGAGTATCCTGCTGAACCCAGGGCCACGGCACATCCTGGCCGCCTCCGACACCTGCTTCTACATCAACATTACCAAGGAGGAGAACTCGGCCTTCATCTTCAAGCAGGAGGAGAAGCAGAAGAGGCGGGGTCTTGCAGGGCAGGCACTGTATGAGGGGCCATCCCGTCTGCCAGTGCATAGCATCATTGCCTCTATGGGTGAGCTGGGGCAGCATGCAGGTGGTAGGTGGGTGGCTTCCAAGGGTGTGTTTCACACACCACTGCCACTGGGCAGGAGACCCCTGACCCCTGAGGCTCGGCTCTTTCTTGGACAGTGTGAGCCTCTCCGAGCCTCGAATTGTGGATCTGTCCAATTGGGGTACCCCCACCAGTCAGAGTTCTGGTGAGCATCAGTTACCTGGGTAACTGAGAGCCTGTGAGGGTACTGTAGCAGTTAACTACCAACCAGAGGCCCCTGTAGTTCTATCAGCCCAGAGCATCCCTTGAATAGATGAAAGCCCTGGCATCCACTAGGGGTAGATTGTCTGAAATTGGCCACAGCTTAGCCTCAAGGCTCTTCCCAGGGACTGCTGTCTTCCTAGAACTGGTCCCAGTGACTTCCTGAGCAGGGCTGGGCCAAAACTCAGAAGGTGGTTCTTCTGGCATGTTTCATCCCCTACCAGCCCTCCAGGGGACAGCGGGGAACAGGAACAGGTCATTTAAACTCTCAGGCCACAGAGCCGCAGGTAATCCAGGGCAATCACCATCTCATGTGGTGCTAGACCCAAGCTGTGACCCTCAAAACAAGTTGACGCTAATAAGTGCCCACCGTATGCCCCATCTAAGTGGTCTCTAGGGACCGGGTGCTTTGACTCTGTGGTACACATTCTCAGCCACGTGTGACATGAGCCAGCAGCTGCCTGGCTCTGAAGTCACTCCTGCAGTAACAGCTTGCCCTGGCAGTCAGACCTGAGGGAGAGCTTGGGGTTGGGGTTCTTCTGCTGTCCAGCCCAACCTCCATCCATTGCTTGTATTTGCTCACGCCCATGCCTGAGACGGAATGGCTCAGGAAGCCCTTCCACCCACTCCTCAGTTCTGGCCCACAGAGGCTATGAGCTGCATCCTTGAGCCGGCCAACGACCCCAAGCTAGCAGCCCTGAGCTGACGTGGGAACAGCAGAAACCAGCAAATGCAATATGGCCACACTGCTCCTGTGTTCCTGGGTGGCCACCCTTTCTAGCCCTGTCCTTAAAGTAGATAGACCAGTTTCCCATAAACCTCAAGGGCCCTACCCTCAGGAAGTCAGAATCAGTCACAGCAACCCAGTATGGATGGGGCCCTTGCTGGGGGCCAATCACCACCCCTCAGGGCCCCCCCCATGTCCTGAAGGGGAAACTGAGACTCAGGGATGTGCTGAAATTCCTAAGGCCACACAGCTGGCCTAGAGAGTGGAGTAAGAAGGGCTGCTGGTCAGGTTCAACCCCTCTGTCCAGGGACAGTGGCCATGGACCTGCAGAACACAGACTGCCGGCCCTCCCAGGGTGGCGGTGGTGGTGGCGGCAGCGGCGGTGGCAGCTGCAAGCTGACTCTGCCCACGGAGAATGGCTCTGGTAGTCGGCGCCCCAGCATCGCACCAGTCCTGGAGCTGGCAGACAGCTCAGCCCTGTTGCCCTGCGACCTGCTAAGTGACCAGTCAGAGGACGAGGTGACACCCTCAGACGACGAGGGGCTCTCTGTGGTTGAGTGAGTGCTAAGTGGGGCTCGGCTTTCAGTGGGAGGGAAGGGTCCCCAGTGCTGGGTATAGAGGCAATCCCTGCTTCACAAATGGGTCTTCTGGGTGGGGCCAGGGAATCACCCCAAGCGTAGTCCTGGGGAGCACTCGAGAGCATGCTGGCAGAGATGTACTAGGCTGCCACCCTCCCCCTGGCCTTGGCTGGAGTCAGAGATAATGGGACTCAGAGGCCGCATTTAGTGGCCTATAGAAGCAGCGTGGGTGATGGGGTAGCATAGCCCCATGACATCTCAACCACTGAGCTATCTGCCCTCGGTTATTCCATGAGTTGGGATAGAGCCAGGCAGTGAACCACAGACATTCCTGAGCTAACATCACAGCTGAATCAGATTCTCTTGGTACTGTGGGATATGGCACCTCATTTCAGGTGGGAATTCTTGGGGCAGGGTCTGTAGAAGTCACCAGCAGGTGATTTGGCTAGACCTTGTCCAGAACCAGAGACTACAAGCCTGTCTCCAGTGGACATCCTGGCTGGGGTCTGAGGCCAAATCTTCCTGGCTGAGACCAAGAGGGACATTAGTAAGTCCTCAACAGTTTAGTTACCTTGACCTCAGTTAGGGCATCCTCCTTTTGGGAGCTGCTCTAAGGTTGAGGGGTCAATGCTGGGGCTCCCAGATCCTGTAAGCAGAAAGTACATGGGTCCTTGTGGCTGTGTCCCTTGAGGTACATGGAAACAGAACTAGAGGGTGGTGGCCAGGGCCCAGTGTCAAAGCATGGCATGGTGTGTATTGAGCACTGTAGGGTGGGGAGGAAGGGAAGCAGCCTTCTGAGAGGCTAGTGTAGCCCACTGGAGGCACAGGCCCAGGTACCTGCCTATCACCTGGGGTGCCATGGACATCCCTCAGTCAGTGGGCTGGTGATTACAGCCCTGGTGTTCTCAGCTTCTAGGCTCCAAAGGGGGAGGAGGGAGGGAGGGAGGGAGGGAGGGAGGGAGGGAGGGAGGGAGAATGTATGTGTGTTGTGTGTGTTCACGTGGCATGTGTATGGACATGTGTGGAAGTGGGTGAACATTGCTTGTATGTGCATGTGTGCAAGTGTACACATGTGTATGTGTGCATGCATCTGTTCCTGTGTTTTCTTCCATGTGTATACATGTAAACATCTGCACTGAGTATATTATGTGTGGAATTTTTCCCCGGGGACATAAGGGATCCCATGGGTTACAAGCTACCTGCCTATCCCCCATCTGAGTAGCTGAGGACTGACCATTGGAAGGATGCTCCCAACCCTCTTGGGTCCTGCGGAGGGGAGTGGTAACAAGTGGCCCCTCTGCACCCCACCTCAGCCTGGGCCATTCTAGGACCTTGGTGTACCTGTCCCAGCCCTAACCTGGGATGCAGGGACAGGTCCCTGAGGACTTGTCTCTTGTGACTGTCCCAGCAGATGTAGGGATTAGGAGCTGGGAGACAGTAAGGCATCTCTGCTAGTACCAGGTGACTCCATGAATAGTCCAGGTAAAGGGTGCCATGCTGTGGTCCCTGTCTTCATCCAGGTACGTGAAGGGCTACCCCCCCAACTCACCCTACATTGGCAGCTCCCCAACCTTATGCCACCTCCTGCCTGTGAAAGCTCCCTTCTGCTGCCTGCGGCTGGACAAGGTAAGGCTGAGTCTCTGCAGCGGCACCCTAGACTCCGCTGTGGCCACCATGTATTTCGGGGATGCTGCAATTGAGCAGGAGCAGACCCCCTTCTACCTCACCCACCCACTCTCTGCCTCCCTGCTCTGAACTCACGGGCTGAAAGCAGGTTAGGACCCCCGAGCCCTGAGCCCCCAAACATCTTGCGTGTTCCCAGAGGAGGAGGACTCCTTCTCTCCTCATATAGCCCATCCCCAGAGTCAGGCAGAGCCAGGGTCTCCTGCCAGGGGAACCCAAGGCTCCAACGGTCTTGTCATTCTTTAAGTCAGCACACACCTTCCTGTCTTCCTGGGATCCCTTGTTGACCTCTGAAGAGCTTGGATCCTGTGTTCAGGGCAACAGAACTCCGTCTATGATCGAGCCAGCCCATGCATCTGGGCTGAGCACCCTGAAGCGGGATGGGGCTCAGCTGGCCGCGTCTCTGGCCATGCTGTCCCGCTGTGAAAGTGACTATCTCTATGGTCCAGTCACTGCTGAGATCAGGGCAGGATGGCTTCTAACCTTCCCCACTCTGAATCAGCTCTCTTAATTCTAGATCCCGCCAGTAGTTCTCCTCAGCATGTCGCCAAGGAAACCATCCTTGCACTCACGTGGTGGAGGCACATGGCCTCTCGTTTTACTCAGGGCCCATACTCATGTTGTTTTGGGATCTGAGCCCTTCGATGTTTGCCAGCCTCTCACACTTCCTCCCTGTGCATGCCCAGCTCTAGACTGGGACCAGGCACCTCCAACTGAGGTCTGACTCAATTTAGGGAAAGAGAACTGAGGAAACAGATGATTAGATCAGATGCTGCCTGAGACCTTGATTCTGGGCTCTGTGGTGGACAGAGCTAGGCACTGGACTGTGTGAGCACACACACACACACACACACACACGTATGTGTGTGTACACATGACTTGGCCCTCTGTATTTCTGTAGCTAAATGCTGCAGTGACTGGCTTACACCCAGCTTTGTGGGACACTGACTTTAGTGGCGGCCAGCAGGATGAGCCCTGGTGGCTGGTGGCCCAATATCTACCCAGGGCTCCCATGTGCTCCCGTGTTGCACGCCCCTGCTATTGTTGGCCCACCAGCTTCTCCCACAGCCAGGGTGGTTGCCCAGCCTGGGTTTCCAACATCCCCAGGGCTGCAAACACAACAGCTATGAAGATGCCAAGGCCTATGGGTTCAAGAACAAACTGATTATCGTCTCTGCTGAGACGGCGGGCAACGGGCTCTACAACTTCATCGTGCCGCTGCGTGCCTACTATCGGTCTCGCCGGGAACTCAACCCCATTGTGCTGCTGCTTGACAACAAGTGAGACACTGTGCACTCCCATAATGCCTCTCTTCCCGTGCCAGGACTGCTGGCCAGTTCCCTGCTGTCTTCCGTGGCTATGCCTTCTATATCTTACTGGCCTTAGCAGCTTCCTCCTCTAGTTTCTCCTGTAGCCTCTTTACATCACATCCCCACAATTTGACAGTTCCCGTGGCCCACGGGGATCCCCCAAACCATAGCTCCTTTCCTCTAAGGACCCGGAAGCATGGCAGCCAGAGCCCAAGGTCCAGTCTTGGCTATATAACCTCAGCAAGTCCAGGGCCTCAGTTTCCCCTGGGTTGAATAAGTGGCAGAACTTTTGGCCTTAAGTTCCCCTCAGTCCCATGTTTTGGGGGCCCCAAGAGTGTGGAGAGGATAAAGCATAGAGCAAGTGACACCTCTCGGCCCTGCTGTTCCCACAGACCTGACCACCACTTCCTGGAGGCTATCTGCTGCTTTCCCATGGTCTACTACATGGAGGGCTCCGTGGACAAGTAAGATGAGATCAGCCTCGGCCACAGTGCCTGCTGTCTCTCCACCGTCCTCCCCCAGAGCTCCTCAGTGAGCACTCAGCCCAGACCCGGGGAAAGAGAGGGAGGTTGAGAGGGACCTGGTGTGTGAGGGGGAGGGGAATCCACAGCCATAGCCCTTGCCCTGTGCAGCCTGGACAGCCTGTTGCAGTGCGGAATCATCTATGCCGACAACCTGGTGGTGGTAGACAAGGAGAGCACCATGAGCGCCGAAGAGGACTACATGGCAGATGCTAAGACCATTGTCAATGTTCAGACCATGTTTCGGTGAGCACCTGACGCCTGGGAGCCAGGCTTCCTACAAGGTCTCCACAGAAACGGATATGGAGAACCATGTGTCAGGACCACTGTGAGAACCCTTAGCCCCAACCAAAGGACCCACCAAAGTCCACAGCCCTGACCATGGGGCCCAGCACAGACCCCACAGCCCTGACCATGGGGCCCAGCACAGACCTCAGGGCCCTGACCATGGGATCTACAAGAGATCCCACAGCCCTGACCACGGGACCCAGCACAGATCTCACAGCCCTGACCATGGGGCCCAGCACAGACCCCACAGCCCTGACCATGGGACCCACCATGGTCTCCAAAGCTATTACCATCGGACCCATCAGAGTCCACAGACCTCACCACAGGACCCACAAGAGACCACACTTCTATGTGTGGTCCCAGGGCTCTGAGGGTCTGTGGTGAGTCCTGCGGTCATGACTGGGTGGTCTCTATTGCGTCGGTTACAGCCGTGGGCATTAGTCTCTGGTAAATTTACAGGGACCCAAAACAGACCCCCACAGCCCTGACCACAAAATCTACCAGAGACTAATGCCCACGGCTGTAACCGACGCAATAGAGACCACCCAGTCATGACCGCAGGACTCACCACAGACCCTCAGAGCCCTGGGACTGCCTCAGACCCTCAGTCCTGACTGACCACAGCCATTCGACCCACCACAGACCCCCAGAGCCCTGGGACTGCCTCAGACCCTCAGCCCTGACTGACCACAGCCATACGACCCACCACAGACCCCCAGACCCTCAGCCCTGACTGAAGGACAACTCTGCTAATCCCTCCCCCAGGCTCTTCCCCAGCCTCAGCATCACCACAGAGCTTACCCATCCTTCCAACATGCGGTTTATGCAGTTCCGTGCCAAGGACAGCTACTCTCTGGCTCTTTCCAAACTGGAAAAGGTAAGTGGGCCCCTCCTGGTGGGTCAGCCTTCGCTAACGGGAGCCCAAAGAGGTTATGAGCAAGGTGAGGGAGAATGGGCTTCTGTCCCGTAGGAGCCAAGGAGATAGGCTCAGCTGATGCAAAGCTCTCCTTGGGGGGCTACTTCCCAGAGCACCTGCGAGTCAGTGGTAATCCTCTCTGGGATCGGCCAGGAACTGGTAACAGATACTCACAGCCCACCCACCACCAGACCCTGCCTCTGTCCCAGCTCTGAAGATCAGAGAGTGGGGAAAGCCTCGTGCTTCTGACCATGGAATTTGTAGGAGGGGTCAGCTCCATGGATGGTATTGGCTAGGCCAGATGTGGAACTCGGGGACACAAGGGACTCAGTAAGGCATTAGAGATATGCTAAGGACCCAGGAACCCACTAGGAATATGGGAAACTACAGGACTATAGGAGACAGGTCACTGTCTATGTTACTCTGGTGTGTGGTGGCTGTAGCCACACCTGCTAATCCACACAAGGGATGGCCAGGCGCTGGGGTGAGGGCAGTGGAAGCCATGTGTTAAGATGAAGACAACAGAGGCCAGGTATGGAGGAGGCAGCCACAGCTGCCAATGCCTGCTGTTCTGTGTGAGTCCCTAGCTCAGCCTGGGCCAGTGTGCTTGTGGTGAGCTGCCAGAGGCCAGCATGACTGACTGAAGAAGGCAGGAATTATCTGGGCCACACCTGACTCCAGACATCAGGCAGAACAGACAAGCTCTGGGGTTTCTTACTGCCCATGAGCACAGAGCTGACTTGAAGCTAGGGCAAAGTGGAAGTGGCCAATGGGAGCCTGTCTGTGTAGACTGCTATCTGGCTGAGCCAGAGAGGCATGAGGGAGCCAGACGGGCAGAGGACCAGACAACAGTGCGACTCCCGCTGTCCAGCTTACCCCCATCACTGGTCTCTGCTCTCCCCAGCATCTGCATCCACACTGGAAAGGGTCAAGGGATGCCTAAGCAGTCCAAGGTGCTAGGATTCTCTGAGTGGCCACTCGGACCACGGCCCCACATATCACCAGGGTCCTCACAGTGTGACCGAGGGTAGGCCAGGCTGGTATCCCTGCTTGGAGTCATCGTGGAGCCTGTGTCCCTATACACAGTCACACCTGGGGCCAGCCCTGCTCCTCAGGGGCCTCGAGGAAGCCTGGGAATAGGTGAAGGCAGCCTGCATAGACAGTAACTGGTTCACACAGCTAGGGCCTCTGTGGTAGATGTCAGCAGTGAAGGGTGGGGGTTTCTTTCATCCCCTCCATGTAGCATGGACCTGGTGGCTGGGCCATCCCTGCATTCTGGACTTGTCAGCTGTTGTCCGTCCCAGGGCAGTGAATGGTCCAGGGCCCATCATGTGACTTTATCACAGTAGGGATGGCAAGGACAAACTGAAGAAATCAGAACACGGTGGTAGTGCATTCATGGATGCTGAGGGGTTGGGATCCCAGAACACGGTGGCAGTGAACTCATGGATGCTGAGGACTTGGGATCCACAGTGATGGTAGTGAACTCATGGATGCTGGGGGGTTGGGATCCACAGTGGTTGATGTCCTGGGCCCTGGGCAGACGAGATAAGGAAGAAGATGAGGAGGCTGCTGGTGTCGTGGCTTCCTGGAGATGGTAGAATCCCCAGTCACACCCACTGTTATGGCCTGCCTATCACTGAGCAACAAGCTTTGTAGGATTGCCCACACTGAAGAAAAATGCCCACTCCTTGTCTGAAATAGAAGGGAACACTCTGGATAGAAGCTAACATTAGCAACACTCCTTCCCCTTCCTTCCAGTCATTTGGACCTATGGCATGGTCCCTTCCTGATTAGGGCAGTCCTTAGGAAAGCCAGTGGAATGCTTGAGTTACCACTGTGGTTCACCTGCACATGGTGCACACCAGAGTGGGAAGGTAGTGGCCGTGACTATGGAACTGTCACGTGGTACAACCACGTGTTGTAGCTCAGACATACGTGGTTCTTCCTGGGCCAATCAAGCCCACACATCCTAGCCCCACTGTTTCGCTCTCCGACCTCACACTCCCCCCAGCACTTGCCCTCTCTGTTAACTGGAGTGCAAAGAAGGACAAAATGAAAGGAATTTTTGCCACCTTGTCCTGTGTGCTTCCTTCCGTCACTGGGAAGATGTGACTGGTGGAGGGGCCACTGATGGAAAGGCCCAGCATGTGCGAGGCCCTGGATTCCAAATACAGGACGTATCTCACAGGTTCTGGGTCCCAATTTCTTCTCAGAGCCCAAACTCTCCCTAGGCTCTGGGCCTGAGTGTGTCTGGGCAGATGCGGCTGGATATTCAAGCCTGCTGGCCAGAAGTCTGTTGATGTATGCAGATACACATCCATGTATACATATACCATGCACATACTACACTCAGCACATGTATGCATGCCATGTACCCATGCTCATGCCACACAAGCACACAAAAATGCATGCATGCCATACCACAAGTACATGTACACACATATGCATACACATACCACACATAAACACACCTTATGTACATATCCTTACTCTGATGGCCACCTGTGATCCTATGTGCCATCTGAGGACCCCTTTCTTGCAGCAAGAACGGGAGAATGGCTCCAACCTGGCCTTCATGTTCCGCCTGCCATTTGCTGCTGGTCGAGTATTTAGTATCAGCATGTTGGATACACTGCTCTACCAGGTCAGCTGGGATGTGGAGGGATGTGGGCAGGGTCCCATGATCCCTGGACCAGAACCCACAGTTGCTCTCCACCTAAGATCTGGTCCCATTGCTCTGGGCAGCTCTCCCCAGATCTCCTGAGACAGATTCCTGCTGGAGCAGCGGGTCTAACTGCCTTCAGGGATGCCCTGGTACCACTCTGGGGGTTTAGGGTCCTGGTCCTTTTTAGATCTCATGTGCTGGGCTGGCAGGCAGGTGGCTTCTGAGTGCGCTGAGGCGGGAGCATCTGCCTCACGTGGCCCCGCTGCCCCACAGTCCTTCGTGAAAGACTACATGATCACCATCACCAGGCTGCTGCTGGGCCTTGACACGACCCCAGGCTCCGGCTACCTCTGCGCCGTAAGTGCAGGCCAGGTGTACAGTGCCACAGGGCACAGGCCTGGCACCCTCCTCGGGTCACTGCAGTCTGGGGACTCTGGGTGCTGCCTGTAGCCCTTCTCAGCCCTTCCTCTCGTCGCAGATGAAGGTAACCGAGGATGACCTGTGGATCCGAACTTACGGCCGCCTCTTCCAGAAACTCTGTTCCTCCAGTGCTGAGATCCCCATCGGCATCTACAGGACTGAGTGCCATGTCTTCTCCTCTGAGGTACAGCCCCATTGCTGTCACAGTCCAGCTCTGGGCACCTGTGTGTGACTGGCATTTGCCAGAGGCTCCTTCCAGGCAGGTTCAGTGTCCAAAACATGTGCCTCCAGAGAGGGCATCTGCCACTCTGGGAAGAATGGTGACCTTGGGAAGCATCCCAGACCTCCAGAGGGCCTGGGTAGGGTATCCAGAGTGGTGGGGTGCAGCTTGTCTACTGCGGTAGACTATGGTAGTCCGCCTGCCATCCTGCCCTTGCATGTTCTATATGGACTTTGAGAGGCGAGGATGCACTGGGGTAGGGGCAAACACACCCACCGGTCCCTCACAACCCTTGGTTTCCTTTACAGCCCCATGACCTGAGAGCCCAGGTGAGCACCCCCGGACCCCATGTGGCGTTTCTGCTCCACCTGTGCCTCATGGAGTTCTTCCCTACCTTGATCAGGCCCCTGGGAAGCAGACAGGAAATAAAAATGTGTTTGCCTCTGGGCTGTTCAGGGTCCGGGGTGGAGGTGGCGGGACTCTCAGCAAGTACCATCCTGCTATGCAATGGGGAAACTGAGGCAGGGGGCAATCACTCATGGGTTTGCCCACATCGTGTGTACCCTTCACTCCAGCCCAGCTCTATGCACCATCAGAAGGCCCCTCTGCAGCCTCCAGAGCAGCAGATACCCCTGTGGGCTGCTCTGACCACCACACCTGCATTATCCCTCTCAGTCTCTCTAAAGGGCTGCTGATGGGGTCCCCACATTTTCCCCAGCCCCTCACATGCTCACTCAGTCATGCACAGCCTACCACACCCCACCTCTGTTCGCATTGACTCCCAGGGATGTGTTTGATGGGGACCCCTGCTCTACCGCATGGAGGGAAACTGAGGTATAGACAGAGGTCCCAGTGCTAGGCCAAAGCCAGGATATACCGGGTCAGAGAGACCAGCTAGATCCATAGATGTGATGGCCCGGAGAGACAAAGGATCCGCTTCCCTGGGACAGGCTGGCTCCATCCTGGGTCAGACTTTGAGCAGGTCCAGGAGGCCAGGCAGACTGGGGTACAGATGGGAACACAGGACCCCACAGTCTTTCTGGCCTGGAGAAGGCTGGCGTTCACACTGTGGGTCCAGAGCCCATCTCCTCCCTGGCACCTCAAGGCACAAGGCCCCATTCCATAGCCCTCCTGCCTGCCCAGTCCCAGATCTCAGTCAACATGGAGGACCGTGAGGACACTCGGGAGGCCAAGGGGCCCTGGGGCACACGCGCTGCCTCCGGCAGTGGCAGCACCCACGGCCGCCACGGGGGCAGTGCTGATCCAGCGGAGCACCCCCTACTGCGCCGCAAGAGCCTCCAGTGGGCCCGCAAGCTGAGTCGAAAGAGCAGCAAGCAGGCGGGGAAGGCCCCTGCAGCCACAGAGTGGATCACACAGCAGCGGCTCAGCCTCTACCGGCGTTCAGAGCGCCAGGAGCTCTCAGAGCTGGTCAAGAACCGGATGAAACACCTGGGGCTGCCCACCACGGGCTACGGTAAGGGCAGGCAACAAGGCGGGGCAGGTTGGGCCATAGCAAAGTGGTTAATGAGCATCTTAATCTATATGACCCCTTCGGCAGGCGTGGCCACAGAATGGTCACTTGGGCCTGCTCAGTGACGGGCAGAGGAGTGTCTATCCCCACCCAGTATGGAGAAGGTGCAGAGTGACCCACAAACCGGCTCGCTTCTGCTACTCCAGAGCCTCAGTTTCCCCAGCAGAAAGCAAGGGACTGGACCTAAAGGAAGAGTAGAGTAGAAAGCCAAGCCGATGGCTTTTGTTGGGGTACAGATCCAGTCTTCCCATTTCTGAGAGATGTGAGGCAAGGAGTTAGCAGGTCCCTGGCCAGGGAGAGGGTGGGGCCCAGTCATCGGGAACAAGAAGGACTTACACATCCTCTGTCTATCCCACCGTCCTCCCCAGGGTAGTCATCCCATTTCTGTAACCCCCTTCTTTCTGTGCCATTTTTGGGTAACATCTGTGTGACTTTAACCAGGCTGCCTCTCCTGATGAGGTCAAAGGGGGCCCAAGCACTCTCTTCTGGCCTGTGCGCTCCCACACTCCCTTAGTATCTCAATACTCAGCTGTTGCTGAGGCCCACCCTGCCTCATGATGCCTAGCATCACTGGAGATGGGGCCCTAGAGACTCCTCCAAGCAGAGATAGCTGCCCAGGGATCACTGGGGCTGGACCATGTGCTGGCCATGCATACTGGGTGTGATGGGCACCTTCACAAGGCAGAGATAGACTTCACTAAAGGGTAGGCCCAGGGAAGACTTTCAAGACCAGCATAACCACCCTAGAGACTTTCCCAATCACGTGTACACAATGCGGAACTTCCCTACAATGCCCTCGATCTAGTGATCCCCACTGTATCCCCGCCCAGGTAACCTGCCGTTCCAGGGAACTAGCCACCAAGGCTAAGGGGATCCCTAGCATTCATGAACTATGGCAAGTACTAGAAGATACAAAGTCCAGCCCACATGACCAAGCTCAGAATTGGCACCTGCCCTGTGTGCCCCTTAGCCTCTGCAATGCACCCCCCACATGCCAGTGCTTGGCAGAGAAGGACCATATTCTCTTTGGCAATTGACTTGCTTCTGAGGTGGCTGGTGCTGGCCACCACTGTCCCGGCGTGGACGGTGTCTGCGTGCAATTGACCGCTGCCCTGCACCCATTCTGCTGTGCCAGCGTGCCCACCCTGCCACTGCTTGCTGACCTGTCTCTCTCTCTGTTTCTGTCTGTGCCTCTCCTATGTGTTCCATAGAGGACGTAGCAAATTTAACAGCCAGTGATGTGATGAATCGGGTAAACCTGGGATATTTGCAAGGTAATTCTGCTCCAGTGGATACCAGCCACCACATAGGGGACGTGCCAACCCTTTGCCACTTTGGCTGGGCCAGACAGTGACCAGGAGAGATGAGAGGGCTTTGTGTGTCCACAGTGGGTTCTCAGGCCTTCAATCTTCCTCCTTGGTTTGTTCTGGCTGAGGGTCATGGGAGCCCAGATGATGGTACCCACCCCGGCCCCAGGGCTTAACCTCAAATACTTTATCCAGCTCTGGTGTTAGAATGTGCCATGCCATCTAGCTTTGCCCTGACCAGACAGCAGGCCGTTCCAGCAACAGCTTGCCTCTCTGGCTAGTCCCACGAGATGCCCAAAGTCCCAATGTGTCTTAGTGAGCCTCCTGCCAGGCATGAGGATGAAAATTAGGATTGCACTCCGTGCTAAGGCATAGGCAGGCTTGGACTACCCAAGCCAGGTAGACTTGGGGCTTCAAGAGCAGGCTCTTTCTATCTGCTTGAGACAGAGCTGACCTAGTAGCCACTTCTCATCTGCGGGCTTTAATGCTGCGGAGTACAAGGAGCTACCCCACATGAGGACAGAGCAAAGGCTAAGCCACTGCCTTCGGTGCCTCCCCTCCAATCAGGTTTTCTGGGAGCTTTAGCAGTGGCTGGGCCCAGGTAGATGTCGGTTTAACTGGGTCTGTATTTGTAAGGATGGCTGTGGGCAGCCACAGAGCAAAGTGTTGGCATCTCCTGGGCTTGCGGTTTTCCTCATCCTGCCACCCATGACAGCATTCATGGAAAGTGGGCCCTCTGCTGGCCACAAGGTGACTTCCATGACCCAAGCATGCCCTGTACCCAGTTCCATCTGCTTCCTGTATGGCTCCTAGGCAAAGGCGGGCAGGTGAGAGCTTGGGCAGCTCCTGCAGGATCACAGGGTGCTCTTGGTGTTCACTGAGCATCACCTGTGTGCTTACTGGGGAAAATGTGCTGGAACTTGGCGACAGGGACTCATAGAACCCTGGCGCGGCATGGAGTGGTGTTGGAATGCGAGGCTGGAATGTCACAACCTGTTCATAAAGGGTAACGTCCAGTGTGGGATGGTGCCCAGGGGCTCAGTGCACACGGGGCAAGAGAAAGCACACAAGCCCTGAAGTTATTCTGGTTCTGAGATGAGCAAGCTAAGGCTCAGATTAGGAAAGCTTATGGGGAAATGGGTACAGATGCCCGGGGCTCGGGTAAGGAGGTGGGAGAAAGTGAGGGGAAGCAGAGATGTTGCAAAGGCCTGACTTGTTGAGAGTTTCCATTCCAGAAGTGCATTTAATCTGGGCCTTGTCCCTGTCCTTACCTGCTGTCTACCTTTACCAAGCACGGGGATGCTAAAGCTACCTCGGGGCAGCTGGCTTGCTCTCTCAAGCTAAGCAGTTGGAGTCAGCACCACAAGACTGTCCACAGCCCCACCCTGGCATGATAGCCGGGATTTGGCATGGCTCTCTCAGCTCTGCACTAAAGAAGCACAAAGCCAGGCCTCATCCTGCCCTCCCATAGGCCTTGCTAGTCTCAAAAATCCCCAGATCTGCCCCTGGCTGGAGGAGAATGGTAGCCCAGACCTCAGACCTAAAGAGGGAGGATCCAGTAGCTTCCTCTCGCAGCCAGGGCTTCTAGCCCCACCTGCGGGATGACTGTCTGGTGGCCCTGATAGACACATATCAGGGGCCATGGTCTGGAGTGAGCATGACCGAATCCCCCTGCTCCTGCTCACACCCTACTGCCCCTGCACTGTCCGCCCCAAAGCTGCATGAAAGACTTACTCCCAGAATAACACGCCTCCCACTTGGCTCCAAACATGAGCCACACCATGGGGGACCTTAACTGTAGGATTTGCGGGGGGGGGGGCAAAAACTGATGCTCATGGGGCAGAACAGCACCCCATTTACAGAGAGCGGGCTACCAGGCTGTCCTACCCTGCAGACGTAGACAGAGGTAAAAGCTCCATTGGAACTACCCCCAGGTACAGGCACACCCCCTTCGCAGAAGCATTCTGTGTCATATGCCTCATCTTGGGGCTGCAGCTCTGGAAGCCAAAGCATGCCCTACCCTGGCCCAGGTGGCTACTTGGCAGCTCCCTCAATGTCACAGAGGGCTAGGCTATGTCTAACATGACGAAGGATAGAGGACACTGGAAGGGGCTGGGCAGAAGATGCCCTGTCCCAGGTCACCCTCATTTTGTATGCCCTTGGAATCTAGAGGTACCTTTAAACATGAAGTGGGCAAACTGAGGCCAGCAAGCTCAAGGCCATTGCTAGCACTGTATGTGGCCATGGTGCCCTGCTGGTCAAGCACAGACATCAATGGTATAACTGGCTGCTGCTCCAGAACCATCCACATTGCTAGGGATCACAGTCTATCATCACCCTGGGGTCATTGCTGGTCTCTCTCTCTCTGGAGAAGCAGCAGCATAGCCACAAATGGGAGGAAATGACCCTGTTCTCCAGTGAGTCCAAAGTATAGGGAGTAGATGTGGCCTGCCCAGTCCCAGGGACGGTGGTACCTGCAGAGCACTTCAGGAGGGTGACAGGAAGGCCTGCGCGGCTCCTGGAGGGCATGCAGGTATGAAGGTGTGGAGCAGATGGTGTGTATGTATAGGTGTTACATGGCTGTACATGTGGGTATTAGCGGTATGTGTCGTATGTGCAGGTGATCAGTAGTGTTTATGGGTGCTCACAGGTATATGTGCAGGTGCATGTATGTAGGAGTATGCATAGGTGCTTGCAATGTGGGTGTGAATAGGTGTGAATAGGTATATACAAGTGTACTCAGTTATATGTGCAGGTGTGCACAGGTGCACTCTGGGATTGTACAGGTATGTGTGCAGGAGTGCTCGGTGCCTCTGTTCTGTCAGTACCCCCACTCCCCTCCTCCACTGGTGAGATGTCATCTAAGGTTGGTTGTCAGATGAGCAAGCAGCCTGGGACAGAGGGAGCCAGTGGCTGAGCCCTGCCCAGTGCAGGCAGGAGCAGAGGACAGGTATCAGGGAGGACCGGTCAGTATATGGCCAGAAAGGCTGGAGAACTACCTCCCCTGTGCTCCTTGGGGTCCAGCAGAGCTATTCTGGGTGGGGTTGGGTGATGCTTGGGCTGTGTCCTTTACAGACGAGATGAACGACCATCACCAGAACACCCTCTCCTATGTACTCATCAACCCCCCGCCAGACACGAGGCTGGAGCCCAATGACATTGTGTGAGTACAAGTTCTGTCCCTCCCAGCATCCGGCGTGGAGCTCCAGACCCCACAGCTGGCACAGGCCTGGTGTGGCTGGCTACCTGGATTGTCATTCCAGACCCTTCCTTGGTGTCTTCTACAGGTACCTCATCCGCTCCGACCCCCTGGCCCACGTGGGCAGCAGCTCCCAGAGTCGGAAGAGCAGCTGCAGCAACAAGCTCTCATCCTGTAATCCTGAGACCCGGGATGAGACACAGCTCTGAGCAGCCACAAAGCCCATGTGGGGACAGACAGGCGGACACAGAGAGAGCATTGTCACACGCTGGCTTGGCCCAAGCAAGCTATGACTATACAATGGCTCCAAGACTTGTCCCCCAGGAAGGAAATTCTCTTGGTGGGGCCAGTCATGAGACCACTGGACTACCCTTGAAACTGGCAGGAGGCACTTTTTAACCTATTTTTACAAATATGTATGATTTGCATCTCTTTACAAAGCTGTACCACAACTCGTGACTTGGGTCTGGCCAAAGTAGGAGGCTAGCAGCAGAGAAGGAACTGAGCAGGGACTGGACACGACCCCAGGTCCCACCCTCCTGCATGGCTTCACTCAGTAATTTCTGAAGGGGCTCTGGGGTGCATGGGAGAAGGAAAGACCTGCAACTGGGGAGTCCCACATGGAACTGGGGAGACCCCTGCATGGAGGCCAGCTCTAGCCGCCCAACGTACTATTCTGAGCTTCTGCATGGTTCTGAGACTATACCAGGGCCTATGGGCTGCCTCTCCCCAGAACCAGGCAAGGGGCCAGCAGTAACGGTGCCGTGCCTGCTCTTTAAGTGGAGGAGAACAGAGGGGCTTGTCAGGGGGCCCATCCTGAACCTGAGCTCTGCAGCCCCTGGCATGGGGTGGGGGAAGGGGCTGCTGGTGGGTCCTCACAGTCCTGTGGTCGGCCATGGCTATGGAGGGAGCCCTGCAGCTGTGGTTATGGAGGTCAGATGATGTTTCCAGCTACCACACTGAGCTCCCCCAGCCACGGAGCTTGGGGACCCAGAATCTGCAAATGATGCATCCCCATGGACCATTTCACACACTCAAAGCAAAGTCTCGTCTCTAAACACCTGATCTGAGAAGCACAATAAGCTCTGGGCTCTGGGCATGTCTCAGGTCTCCAGGGATTGCTCCAGGCAGCTAACTTCAGTCTTGTTTGTGGTTTGTATGGTTGGAACTGGAACCTTCTATTAAAATGGATTTATCCTGCAGGCATGCATGGAACAAGGTGACCCATCAAGGCTCCAGGACACGGGGTCTGGAAGACATCCGAGGCTCACCTGTTTTAGGGTTAGAATCGCCTCCTTTATTTCCCTCCCCAGACTTCACAGACCAGCCCCGAACCTCTGGCCTGGCCAACATGGCCTTCTCAAAACAGTAATAAATCTTCTGTAGCTATGGGTGACTGGGTCTGGGAAGCTGCCAGGGTGTGCATGAGTCAAGTCCAGAGGACCCTCTGGCTAGCTGACAGTCAACCTCCCTCTATGGTCCAGCATGCCCTGAAGGTAGAAACAGCTCACCTAAGGCCCCAGACTCCTGGAAATCCATCCTCACCCCACCCTGGGGAGGAAGGTGCCTTTGATGTCACTATGTAAACCTCTGCCATGTGCTTTTTGGGTGTCCTGAAAGGCTGAGGTGAAGGGATGACCAAAGGGCCAAGTTCTCCCAGGTGGAGCAGATGGACCCTCCAGTGGGTGGGCTCTAAAGGGCAAGGCAGTTGCTATAACCTGCCTGATAGGGTGCCTAGACCAAGTCTTCACTGCCCATGGCCTGCCTGCAAACCCAGCCTTCCTACTCTGCCTGTCTGGGATCCACATGCTCAGAAAGTATACATAAGCCCTAGTGAGGAGTACTGAAACAGTTCTTACAGTTAGCTGTCAGGACTCAGGGAGGTTGTTTGGGGGCCTAGGTGGAGAAGCAAGTAGTTTACCCTGGACTGGCGTGTCCAGAACTCACCTAGGGCCTATTGGTGGCCATCACTCTGTAGCAGGAGGGGTCTGACCCAGTACCCACACTCCATCTCCCTGCCCAGCCACCTGCCTGGCTGCTGAGCCCAGAGACACAGACTCTTACTGGTCTCCATCTAGATGGGGCTACAGCCTTCAAGCCTATGCTGGAAGAGCTGCCACCTCTGGGGCACCTTGGGGAACCACCTGACCCATATTTGGATCAGGGTGCTTACTCTCCTGTGCACCTGAAGCGTGGGAACACATTTCCAGTCTCTCGGTATGTGTGTGTGTCTGGGGGGAACGGGGGGGGGGGTGTCCTCTTACAGGCAGATACTTCAGCACAGCCTTTTGCTAGTTCCTAAAGATGCCAGGCCCTGGGACTAGCACTTGGGCCAGGAGGATATGTGTGCTGTGAGATATCAGATATCAGATACCAGCTCAATAAAAGCCACCTGCACTCCTGGAACCTTCCATAGCTTCCATTGCCTTCATAGCCCGGCCTGGAGGATACCCTGTCTTCACAGGATCCCTGTCCCGAGCCATCCTTGGACCCCATCAATTCTCCCAGCCCGCATACCCTGCTGGCCTTAAGCGCTCTCATGAAACACTTGTTCCAAGTGGAACAGGTCTGTCCCAGCCCAGAAGGAGCTAGAATTTAAACACTGCAACAGAACTTTCAAAGTATAGAGAATTAGCAAGAAGCCTTTCATGTTCCTTATTCCTAACTAATCTAACCAAACCTGTTCAGAACAGTTCCGAGTGCCTTGGGGGCTGCAGCTTGTGGTTTAGTGCTGAGGGGCATCAGGACTGGAAGCGGTCTGCGGTGAGGGGGTGGGAGCTGGGAGCCTGTGCAATGAGTGAGTGCTTGCGTGCTTGCTGCAGGCTCTAGGCCGGCTCGGTAGCAGCCTAAAGATGTGCAGTGGCGGGCAGAGGGGAGGATATGTAACTGCCTAAGCACTTAGGAAGGGCAGAGACAGAGACCAAGGCAAGCGATGAAACCATTGCACATTGTTTTGCATTGGGGGTGACACCAATCCAACTATACACCTGCCACAGAGACTGAGGGTGATTTCAGCTGGCCAATGACAAGACAAACTCATGGGAGACGGAAAGCAAACCTGAGACATAAAGGAAGCATGTTAGGACCCATCTCCCAGGTCCCTCTTACTCCACCCACACCGTGAGGCATCTCAAGACAGATTCCTGAGGGTGTGTGGCTTCCGTCTCCCTCTGCCAGTACACCCAGGCCATGCTCAGTCCCATCAGGTTTCCACTCCACCCTTCTGACCCCTCATCCGACAGGCACCACGGAGATACATCTTAATGACCTCAAAAAGGGGTTGTTTTGTTTGAGACATGATTTTTGGGGGGTGAGGGGACAGGGTTTCTCTGTGTAGCCCTGGCCATCCAGGAACTCACTCTGTAGACCAGGCTGGCCTTGAACTCATAGAGATCTACCTCTCTTTGCCCCCTGAGTGCTGGGGCTAAAGGCGTGCACCACCATGCCTAGTGAGTCATGATCCTTATACTTGTTTATCTTCAGAGAATCCGTATTTTTCAACTACCTGGTCCAGTGAGAAAGGGTGGGGGGTTCTAGGGGCAGTGTTCTGGAAGGAGCTATGCAATGGCCGGTTGTGGGAACCCAACAGCACTACAGGTTGTGCTCACACCAAAGTCCAAGGCCTCAGCCCCCAGCCTCACCACATCACATAGAACCTGGAGTCTGGCTGGAAAGGGGGGGGGGGGCTCAATTAGAACCTCTGGAGTGGGAACAGCAGCCGTCTAGACTCAAAACAAACACCCTTGGGTGTTGGCCATACCCATCCTCGCCTCCTGTGACATCAGAAGTTTTGCAGTCCTGTGCTTGATGGTTCTAAGCAGAGCTTGCTTGTACCCAGAGCAAACCCTCCAGCCTGGGCTTCTGTCTGCAGAACGGGGTGCCTGTCTTGTTCCCAAAGCAACTGCAGCTCACAGAGGGATCCCACAGTGTTCTAGCCTTGAGCTGGAGGTAACATCTGCCTATCTAGACAAAGAGCTTCCAGCCTGGCCCAGAGCCTTAGGGGGAGTCATTGTCCATGCCCATGGAGTTCTGCATGGGCAACTCTGCATATCTCTAACAGATGCCTGCCAGGGTGGACAGTTTGTAACACAGCAAGTCCTACCCCCTATCCTTGTTCAGACCCTTTGCAACCAGACACATCCTAGTACTTCCCTGCTCTAAGGCCTGCTTTTTCTCCAAGTGGGGAGCATCCAGTGCTACACATCTTACAAGGATGGACAGGGATGTCCAAAACAGCTGGCAGTGGTCCAGGAGACAGCAGGCACTGGGGCTACTGTCTATCCCCAGCCTCTGCCTGAGGCACATGGCTGCTAACTGGGATGCCAAACAGAGACATGGCCTTGTCTTTTGCATGGCTGAAGACACTCCTCCCTCATGGGCTTGGGGATGCTCTCAAAGACTGTAGGACAGGTGAGTACTCCCCTCACCAGGAAAACTGAGGCACAGACCCATGTTAAGGGCTCAGAGCAGCAAGGCACAAGCCTGGACTTTGAAAGTAAACTTTTAGAAGCTCCATCATCCCACCAGGTTAGACTGTTGGGGTAGCAATACCCTTGGGTGGTCCTACCCTGACTCTCCTTGAGGTTCCAAGTAAGCCACAAAGGACAGCCAGGCTAGGACAACCCTCTTTATCCCCTCCCCCCCAAAGCACCACCTCTGATCCCTGCTCTGCCCACCCTCCTGAGGTGGAGTCCTAGCAACCGAGAGAAGCCAAACTCCAGGCCTAGACAGGACCTGGACCAACATGATCAGCACATAGCATTGGCACAAGCAAATGGTGCAGGCCGCATTGCTGACTTACAGAGGCAGGCTTAGCAGTTCTCAGGAGGCCCTAACTGGAGGCACTGCCATGTCTCCCTGCTAACACTTCAGCTGAAAAACATTTAGGTTTCCCAAGTCGTATGAGAAGATGGAATCTCACCCACTATGACACAATGAAAACACAAAACAAGCCAGGTACCTTTGATCCCAGGATTCAAGAAGCAGAGGCCAGCCTGATATACATAGCAAGAACCAGACCAGCTCGGGCTACATTAGACCCTGTAAAAGAAAAACGAAGTGGGGTGGGAAAGATGAAGGAGGGTTGCCTGAAGAGATGATCCAGTGGTTAAAAGCAGTTGCTGCTCTTCTAGAAGACACACCTGGCAGCTCACCACCACCTATAACTCTAGTTCTAGGAGATCCAATGCCTTCTTTGACCTCTGCAGGTATGTGCTGCAATCTACACACGCAGCAAACTTTCATATACATAAAACAAAAGCCCATAGAAGTCCTCACCGTAGCATATGCTGGCAGTAGAGCAAAGAGGCGGGGCAGTCTGAATTGCTAAGTTCTGCTTCTGCCTCTAGACACAGGATGTGCTTCAGCACTTTGACCCCTTGGGTCCCGTTACTCCAGTGTCCAGACATCAGACGAGGGCTGCCTTCCAGAAGCCCCTCAACTGAGGACTTGAAACTAGAGAATTCTGATTTCTGTTGGGACCACATCCTCCCAGACGGCTTGAACCTAGAGAATTCTGATTTCTGTTGGGACCACATCCCCCCAGATGGCTTGAACCTAGAGAATTCTGATTTCTGTTGCCCTCTGTAATTAGTAAATCCACTTCAGTTACCGGCTCTTCCATCTTATCAGCCCCAGACCAGCTGGTAACCGGATCCGTCAACCTACTTCGTGATCCCTGTGTTACGGATGAACCGCAGTACATCAGGGCCATCGCCAACCCAGGTAGCAGTCAGCTCAGACCAAGCTCTCTGCCCCTGTAGGAACCAACATCTTCTCCATCACCTGCTCTGCCCACAACCACTGGGACCAGGCTGCCTGTGAGTTTATGATCCTCCTGCCTTGGTCTCCAGAGTGCTTATGTTATGAAGTTGTTTCATATCTAACACATACTACTGTGCTCTCTGGGTAGTCTCCAGCATTTCATCATACAAAAATGGAGGAAAGCCAGGCATGGTGGCGCAGCCTGTAATCCCAGCACTAGGAAGGCAGAGAAGGCTCTGTGAGTTTGAGGCCAGCCTGGTCTACAGAGTGAGTTCCAGAACAGTCAAAGATAAAAAGAAAGAAACTCTGTCTTGAAAACTCAAAAGGAAAAAAATGGGAGGAAAATCATGCAAGGCCAGCTCTGTCCAAGTGGAAGTCTTGCTACGATGACATCTACCAAGGCAAAGTGAACCCCAGACTCCTGTGTTCAGGCCCTAAGCCCCAGAACTTTAGAATATGACTGGGTTTGGTGTAGGGGTTGAAAAAGGAGAACCAAAGAGACGTGGCCATTGGGGATCCAAGCCTATCTCACTGGTGTTCTTCTAAGTGGTCAGGACTGATACAGGACACACGGTAGGTAGACTGTCTACAAGCTGAGAGAAGTAGCCATAGCAGCTAGCCCTGACACCCCTTCCTTACCTCAGGCCTCTAGCCTCCAGGAGTGTGCATGTATGTGTGTGGGGGGGGGGGTGCACATGAATGCAAGTGTTCACAGAAGCAGAGGTCAAATGCTCAGGGAGCTACGGTTAGAGGATTCGACTTTCTCTCAGCATAAACATTACAAAATGTCAGAAAACAGATCTGGCAATGTGTAGAAAGGATAGAGCTGGGCTCCTTCATGCCAGGGAAACAGGTTTGTCTAAACACCAGGAAGAACAGTACGAAGACTCACCATCATTTCAGTGGGATACAATGCATCTTATAAAACCCAACCTAATTCTGGCACACTAAGGAAGGGAACCTAAACAGGAAGACCCCAAAAGGACCAGGAGGATGTCCAGCATCTCTGCCAGGCAGCTGTGGAAGAGTTGCAGCACGGTAGGGAGGTAGGAAGACAACCAAAACCCTAAACAAACAAAACAAACACAAAGGACATCATTCCTTTCCAGCAAATGCTAACAGTTCACGTACATCTGAGAGCTGAGCAGGACTGCTCATGGTGAGGCGGACAGAAAAATAAGCTTTTGCATTTATATGCTGCCTGCATCGGATGCTGTCAGTGTAAGGCAGGAATTACAGACAGAAGCCCCCCAGCATTCCCGCAAGGGGGAGACGCTAGCCCTGCCAGGGCTCACCTGGAGGACTCAGGCACCGTCATCTTACAGCTTTCTAAAGAGCTTAACTAACCTCTGTGACCTCAATTCCTCTGCCTATATGGAGCATAACTTTCTGGGTGGGGGCCTCACACCTACCCACAGAACACGGGCCCAGAAGGAAGAGGAACAAAGTCACAGAGCAGCAAACA